CATATGACGAAATAAGTGGCTTCAATAGTACCGAAACCATACATACAGGCATGTGCATAAAGTTGACAAGCACTGACATTCAAAAACCAAGCAGCATGGTCTACATCACTGAAATATAACCTAAACCACAAGCATGCTGGTTACAGCTTTGAATCTACCAAGTGATAAGTGTTCTTATTCATTTTAGAGGCAATACAAGTGGTACCTCTACAACCTTTACTGAACCAAACTCTGGCTGTTTACATTGCTAAAATTGAGATGAAGTCAAACATATAGAAGAGCACAGAAGTGTGGGAACATAGTTAAAACATCTGGTAAACTGAGCCGAGCGTCAAATCTTTGCCCCACTTAAAAGGATGGACACCGATCGAAATCTTTTAAACGGTTTGATGCAGCACTGGTGAATGCGCATGCGTGAGCATGACAAGACATACTCGGAAGGTAGAGCATGGTCTCAAATATAAGTGCAGTGTTCAACGCCTAATTCAGCGGAATAAAAGACTCGAGCTGGAAACTGATAGTAGGGTTACTGCACTCATGTAGATGGTGGGATAGCAGCTGAAATATGAATGCAACGAAGAAATAAGATCCTATCATCTACTAGGATCAGTAAGCATACTTCGATTGCACAAGTGAATGCAGGACCTCAAAAACAAACCAGTAATGGACTGGAATTCAGATTTACAGATTCTTGTTACGATATCACGAAGCAGTGCGTTTCCAAAACTAGCGATTAACAATAAGCAGGATAGGGAAAACAAAACTACATGAAACAGCCAATATGATTGTATTGTAATCCGAAATCAATCATCCAGATTGGTTTGCGTGGAAAGTTTTTCCTCTAGCTAGACCCATAATAAATCCAAAGGGGAAGAGTGGTTGCCAGCTGATTAGCAATGTGGTCGTTAGACATAAGCTACAATTGGGAATTGGCCCTAGAACTGAAATATCCCCCATAAACAAAGGCCAAACAAATAATAAGTTAAACCACCCGCACATAAACTGTGGTAGTGAAAATAGTGACTTTTCACATGACTTTAACACCCACTCGCAATCACAGGAATCGCCCTGATGGGCGTTGCAAATAATCCACTGCTGCCCACATTCAATCGGCAGCAATTTCATATGCATGTCAAACGTAGCAGAGAGCAACCGAAATATTCAAGTTTGGAAAATTAGTTTGCATTCAAAGAAGCCTTAATCAAAATAAGCCACCTAAAAGGTACTCATAGAGAGAAAGGAATCATCCTCATTTGTAAAGTAAGAATAAAAATGGAAAGTGTGTGAGGAGCAGTTGTAGTAGTGGAGCCATAACAGTTGGCAAATCGTTGCATATCAGTGCCTAGGCATTGGCTAGAGGTGTCCAACTTGATAAACAAGAGCACGAGTACATATCAAACGATCTCCAGGTAAAATAAATCCTATTTTTATTTATGCAGCATGCAAAGGGCAATGTGAATCCATTGTTAATATGCACAAATGAATTACAAAATAAATAGTGAACAAATAGTATTTCACACTATAGAAAATTACCAGGTATCTGCTGCTCTTGGTCTCCAGTTCGAATGGAAAAGGTTGCTCCTGCCTCGACATGAACCATCACATAGTATTCCTTGCTAGCGCCGTTCTGCGGCAGACTCACCCCATACAATCCGTTTTCTTGAAAAACGGGCGGTATACTGTTAGGGTTTTTATTCTTGGATGTCGGAAACTGTTTTCTAGGATGCTGTTGTTGTTGTCCTTGGAGAAACACCTGTGGCGTAAGCATCGGAGTCACGAGAGATTCGACAGAACTGGATGAAAATGCAGCCACATTATTAGAAAGTATAACCGGTGGAATCGTATAAGAAGGTGGAACGTAGACAGAGGACGGCAATTCCATTATCGATAGAGTGACATTATTAGTCACGCACAAATCGTTGGACTCAGCAGCTTGGGAAGTTGTAGGATCATTCGATGGATGCATGTCAGGTTCACTCAACTTATCAGTTTCTATTAGGGGGACAAACTTTTGATCAAGATAGTCGGGTGTCTTCGCGTTTTCACTTATAAGTATCGGTTGACTATCTATGGGTCCTCGAGCACACTCAGATGGCTGAAGATCGACTGACACGTCAATACCCACATCCCCATCAAGAGAGTTGTCACCACCACTGCATCTTGATCCACCACTTGAGGTGAAAGATGGAAATTTTGCATCGCATCCAATGGAAGATGATAATTTCTGTTCAGTAGCGTTGCATGTCCCTGCCATTGGTATAGAATCACCATCTTTGGTTGCAACACTTATCTTTTCTACAGATCGCCTATCATCACGGGCGTAAAATGGCTTTGTAAATGGTTTGTCGGTCATGAGATTGGAAAATTTGGGACGATAGACGGAATTGACTTCCAGGGGATATTGGGGTGGTCTAGAAAAAAACGATGGCTTAATGTTATTTTCTTGTGGTTGATCCTCAAGCATTCTGCACAAGGAGTCAAGTATTTGTTTCCACACAAAAAGATTCACCAATACAACTCTACGTAAAATAGAGACGCATAACGAGACGTTCGAGTACGCGCTTTGAGCAAACAGTCGATGGAATTTAAATAAACTGATTTGATAAAACGAGAATCGCATCTATAAATTTGGTGACAACGTCAAAAGCGAAAAAGCTTGTTGTTAATTATAACTGTGTAGCATTAAAAAATTAAAACAGTTCTTTATTTAACTTTGAACTGCTAAATAAAATTTTAAATGAGCCCAACGAAATGCCGTTTTTCTAGGTGTAGA